ATAAGTTCGGGTATGTTGTGTCCTCATTCTCGTTGAATTTTAGGAAGTCCTTAATTTCTTTCTTTATTTCTTCTTTGACCCAGGAGTGGTGCAATTGTGCATTGTTCAGTTTCCATGAGTATAGGGTTTCTGAGATTTGTGTTGTTGAATTCCATTTTTAAAGCATGCTCGTCTGATAAGATACAGGGGACTATTCCAATTCTTTTGTATTTGTTGAGGTTTGTTATGCCATCTAGTATGTGGTCGATTTTAGAGAAGGTTCCATGTGGAGCTGAGAAGAGGGTATATTCTTTTGTGTTTGGATGGAATGTTCTATAGATGTCTGTTAAACCCAATTGAGACATAACTTCTGTTAATTCTTTTGTTTCTTTGTTGAGTTTCTGATTGGTGGTCCTGTCTAGTGTTGAGAGTGGTATATTGAAGTCTCCCACTATAAGTGTGTGAGCTTTGAGTTTTAGTAGCATTTCTTTTACAAATGTGGTTGCCTTTGTATTTAGGGCATAGATGTTCAGAATTGAGACTTTGTGTTGATGGATTTCTCCTGTGATAAATATGAAATGACCATCTTCATCTCTTTTGATTAATTTTGGTTTGAAGTTTAACTTGTTAGATATTAGGATAGCCACATCTGCTTTCTTCTTGGGCCCCATTTGATTGGAAGATCTTTCCCCAGCCCTTTGCCCTGAGATAATGCCTATCTTTGAAGCTTATATGTGTTTCTTTTATGCAGCAGAAGGATGGATTCTGTCTTTGTATCCATTCTGTTAGTGTGTCTTTTTACAGGCGAGTTAAGACCATTAATATTGAGGGACAGTAAGGACCATTGATTGTTAATGCTTGTTTGTTTTAGATGTGTTGTTGGCAGTGAGTGGTATTGTGAATATATTTGTCCTGCTTTAATTTTGGGTTTGGTGAAGTGGGAATATCTATTGCCTATGTCTTTGTGAGCGTAGTTAACTTCCGTAGTTAACTTCCTTGGGTTGGAGTTTTCCTTCCAAAACTTTCTGTAGGGCTGGATTTGTAGATACGTATTGGGAAAATCTGGCTTTGTCATTAAATATCTTGTTTTCTCCATCTATAGTGATTGGGAGTTTTGCTGGGTATAATAGTCTGGGCTGGCATCCGTGGACTCTTAGTACTTGCAGAACATCTATCCAGGACCTTCTGGCCTTGAGGGTTTCCATGGAGAAGTCAGGTGTAATTTTAATATGTCTGCCTTTATATGTTACCTGCCGTTTTTCCTTCGCTGCTCTTAATATTATTCTGTATGTTAGGTGCTTTGATTATTATATGTCGAGGGGTCTATTTTCTTTGGTCCAGTCTATTTGGTGTTCGGTATGCTTCTTGTACTTTCAATGGGCATGTCCTTCTTCAGATTGGGAAAGTTTTCCTCTATGATTTTGTTGAATATGTTTTCTGCACCTTTGAGCTGGGCTTCCTCACCTTCCTCTATGCCTATTATTTTTAGGTTTGGCCTTTTCCCGGTGTCCCACATTTCCTGGATGTTTTGTGTTAAGGATTTGTTGGATTTACGATTTTCTTTGATTGATGAATCTATTTCCTCTAGTTTATCTTCCGCGCGTGAGTTTCTCTCTTCCATCTCTTGAATTCTGTTGGTTATGCTTTCATCTGTAGTTCCCAATTGTTTGCTCAGTTTTTCTATTTCCAGCGTTCCTTTGGTTTGTGTTTTCTTTATTGTCTCTATTTCAGTTTTCAAGTCTTGAACAATTTCCTTCACCTTTTTAATTGTTTTTTCTTGGCTTTCTATACTTTTTTTAAGAAATGTTTTCATTTCATCCAATTTTTTGTTTGTTTTTTCTTCCATCTTTTAAAGGGATTTTCTCACATCATCTTTGAGGGCCTCTATCATTTTTATGATGATAATTTTTAAGTCGTTCCCTTCTGCTTCATCTGCTTTGGGGTGTTCAGGTCTAGTTGGTGTAGATTCCCTTGATTCTGGTGATGTCACACTTGTCTTTCTATTGTTAGGTGTTCTCTTGTATTGCCGACTTCCCATAGCTTCTTCCAGTAGGTGTTGGTGGGGTCTCTCCCTCTCTCTATGGTACTGCCCAGGTGGCTTAGGTGGGTCAGAGGTCCAAGCTCTCTAGGATGTCTCTCCACAGACAGGGGCCCAGAAATGGGGATCAAAGATCAGGCTCCAGCAGAAGATTGATGGGAGTCAAAGATCCCGAAGGCTGGGACTCAGGATGTTCCTTGTGCCTATAAGCAGATCTAGCCTGGGCCTGGCACTCTCCAGCTGAGGCCTCTTTGGCAGAGGCCCTGTGATGGGGGTCAAGGATCCAGCCCGCAGTAACTCAGATTGGCCCCACGTGGATAGGCAGATCTCAGGAAGGGCCCGGAACTCCAGTAGAGGACTGGGCAGTGGGAGTCAGAGACCGGGCAGGTGGAAATTACGGGTGGTCCCGTGTGGATAGGCAGGTCTAGTGTGCTCAGAGTAGCTCCAGGAAATTCTCCAAATGTGGCAGGATGGTTGGCTCCCCCAAATAACAATATCTTACTCAACTCATCTGTTTATTGACCCTCACTTCCTTTCTGTTTGCCCCTGTTCCAGTCTTGGGTCTCTGGGAACTCACTGTCATCTTGTAATGCTTGCTGATGGGTGGTCTATCTGCCACCTCAGTCTTGTACTATTATGTGCAGTGTTGGGAATAGAAGGGGACTTTGAATGCCAGGCAAGCTGAGCTACAGTCCTAGCTCTCTGCCCCTGTAACTAGGTGAGTATCTGGCACAGCAGATGCACTATACATATATGTGTGTGTAGATACATGATAAAGATATGTATATATGATATATGATATAAAGATGATGAAGGATTCTAATGGTTAGCACACACAAACATACACATGCACACATACACACAAGCCATTAAATACAATACAATTTCCTAAACTAGTAACTTAGAATGTAAATATTATTAACGTTTTCCCCCAACTAAATTGATGCTAATTAAGTGCTACATCTCAACTACAGTCAAGTCATGCTGTGGTCTGCATGCTATGGTCTGAGGGGCACTGCAAGGCTTCTGCTTCTTTGATTCCTCTCTTGTAGAGAGGTTCTTCTTTTCCTTCTTTCTTTTCTTATTTTTTAAGGTTTATTTGTTTTATGTATATGAGTGCTCTATCTGCACGCATGTCTGCACATGACAAGAGAGCATCCAATCCCAGTGGAGATGGTTCTGAGCCACCATGTGTTTGCTGGGAATTGAACTCAGGACCTCTGGAACGGCAACCAGCAGTCTTAACTGCTGAGCTAGCCCACAAGGATTAGGGTTTTTTTAACTTGAGCAATTTATACAATTGATAACTTGAAAAAAAATCCTTGAACATTAAATCACTTAGAATTGTATAATGTTCGTTCTGAGACAGTTTTCTTCCTCAGACTGCTACTTACTGCAATCACATAGCTATAAAGGTAATTAAGTATTTCTCCAAAATGTTGATAGACAAAGAAGACAGTTGTGATGCAGGCTGGCTCTTCTGCTAGTCGGAGCTCATGTGCACAGTGGGTCTTTCTGGTTTACCCACTCACTCTATTCATGCTGAAGTATGTAATTATTGCTAGTTTTTTGTTAGGAAATGTAACTCCATAGCATCTATCATTGTGGTTAAGTCACGCTTATTCCCTAATTATTTATATATAAACTAGTGGTTAATGGTCTACATATAGCTACTAGTTTGTGCATAAATAAATAAATGGTTTATGTCAGTGGTGCTGGGGCAACACTGCCAAGTGGAGATGTTGCTCTGACTCGGAGTGCTGTTCAGAGGCCATTTCCACACAAGGTGATTGGTGCTGTTTCCAATTAACAACAGTAAGGAGTACTCTGCCATGTATTTAACCACTGTAAAATGCAACTACTGCTATTTGTGGTTCTCTTTCTGGCACCTACCCCTGTTTTGCTCTTGTTCCTTTTGTGAAGCCTGGGGAGATGGTTAATGCAGGATGGGGGTCAGCCTTCGGCATCTGGATTTGCTGTCTCAAGTCCCCACTTTACCTTTCCTGTTTCTGACATTCATAAAGAAGCTACGCTGTGAAAACAAATCGCACTGCTTCATTTACTAACCGACCCTTCCCACTCTGACACATGAGCTCATCTCAGCTGCTGCAGGGCCTCTGCTCCTTCATCCTCATTCACTCTGCCCAGGGTTTCCCTCCCCATACACAGGTGCTGGGCTCACCTCTGCCTTCTGTCTTTATGAGCCCACATTAAAAGTCTCTGTTCTTTTGGATGCATTTTCTAACCCTTTTCTTCAGCTTCATTAATTGATGTTTTCTTCTTTCTGTCTTCTGCCTTTGTTTGGTTTATTTCTAGACTCTGTAATATTCCATCAAATCTTCCTTCCCTCATCCTATACTTTCTTAAGGTCCAAAGACCTTTTTGAAATGTATTAAGTAATTTAACAATCACTCTTTATTGTTTTAAAATTTAATTATGAAAGCACTTCAGCTTTACATTTTCTAGAAGGGAGTAAGGTGTTGGTCACATCACATGAATTTTTCCATACACTGTTCCAATTATTTCTGAAAGCCTCTACTATTTTTATGTCTTAACTGACTTGTGTTATTTAAAAACTTTTCTATTATTTTTGTTTTAAAAAAGAATGGCTTTACTTTTAGGCCTATTGTTAATATCAATTTTTACTGCATTAAGGTTAATGAAGAAAAATGAACTATGAATTTGAAGGAGAGTGGAGATGAGCATGTGGGAGGATTTAGAGAGAGGAAAGGGAAGGGAGAAATGCTGTAACTAAAATACAATCTCAAACACAAGCAAGCAAGCAATCAAAATTATTTGAGGATATGGCTATATAGTTTCCTTTTACCCTTTAGAGTGGAAATGATTTTTTTTTTTTTTATATCATCCTCACCTCTTTCCCCTGGGCATGACTGAATGGCACTGTGGCAGGTGTTCTGGTTACATGTCAAAACACAAGAGTAAAGACAAATGGATTAGTTTCCATTGAGAAAAGAAGGGTTACCTGAAACATGTCCATGTCTTTATCATGTGTGTACTCCACCACCACAGTCTGGTTCCTTGACAAAGTGTAGGATATGCTGTGCTGACCTTTGCAGCTGATAGCCTAATGTGAGAGAAGGGAAAAAAAAAAAGAACTCATTTAAATTTCATCTCAGCTGATAGCCTAATAGTGAGAGAAGGAAAAAAGAACTCATTTAAATTTCATCCTAGTGAAATTTACTGGCTACAATTCTGTTCCAGTTCAGTCACCCTTCTGTCAGGAAAACTGAGCACAAGCCAGCATCACCCCAATGGTCAGAGCTGTCCCCATGCTCACCCTAAAAACCAGAGGAACTAAAAGATAGAATTAGGGGAAGCTTTGTCATATATATATATATATATATGCTATACAGGTATAAGAAAAATCAGTTTATTTGCAACACCTGATTTAATTATAGTGTCAGAAAAATATATACATACAGTCTCTTTCTTGCCAAACTGAAGTGATAAAACTTTTACACCATCGTGACTTCTTTAAAATTTAAAAATTTCTTTCATGCGTGGGTAAATTAATAGCATTTTGTCACATTGCTTCCTCTATTACAGAGATTATAAGCGCACTAAAAAAAAAAGTCATTGAAAACACTATTAATATCCTGCAAGGATATCTACATGACAATATATTCTTCTAACCCATGTCAGCCATATCTACACAGGGTTCTGCATCTCAGCTACATGTTGTATAAGCAATTGCTGGGCTCATCCATTTTATATCTTAAACAACAGAACAGCAGGATTAGGTAGTACATTACTGAAATTCCAGTGCTTGAGAGGTGGAGGAAGGATTGTGAGTTTGAAGTCAGTCTGGGCAAGAGTGAGAACCTATCTCTAAAATAAGGCCAAACTATTTGTAGTCCCCCTATTCCCTCCAACCCCCTTTCCTTCCACAGTTATTAAAGCCAATATTCTTTTTCAAATAATCTAGGAATAGTAAAACAAGATATTGCTAATATTTTCTTCATCATGATACGTTTGGACACATCCTAAATTGTAATCACATGCTTGTAGTATTTTTAAATTAATACAGAAATCTATCTACATTATACTCCAAATTATTTCAATTACATGTTCTGTAGTAATTTAAACGTATCTTCATTCTACTTTAATATTAAGAATAATAAATAAAACTTTAATAGGCCTCTCTATTAAACATTGCCTGAAGGAAGGCACTGTATGGAGAGCACAAAAGCCTTCTGAAGTGGCTGCACACACGGTGTGTAATTCCAAAGACTCTGAGCATCTTTGTTGAACTAGCAACTGCTCAGCAAGAAAAGTAGCAGAGAATTCAGTCACAATGAGCCTGGTGAACCTACAGATACTTAACAATTTCCACTGAGGAGCTCCAAGGTTGATCTCGTACAACACCTTATTACATTTACTAATTATTAAAGGTAGCAGAGCTCTTTAATATGGCCAGATATCTCAAAAATACTTCTTATTTAGTGCCACCAACTATGTCTTCTAAATCTTCATTGGTCTGAGTCAGCTAAATTCTATCTTAATGTGAACAATATTCTATTTAAGTTAAATCAAAGTTGTTTCACAGTTTGGAAGACTTGACTTAACCATATTGCTAGAGAAGCCCTCCCCACCCCCCATGAACACATGTAGGTGTGTAGGTGCACTTGCACAAGGAGGTCAGAAGTCAGTATCTCAGGTATCTTCCTCTCTCTAATTCCATCTTATTTTTGAGACAGGGTCTCTCACTGAACCTGGAACTTGCTATTCAGCTACCCGCCTGCCCCTGCTCCCCCACAGCTGGGGTTACAGGTGCACACCTCTGTGCTTTTACATAGTGTCAGTGACCCAAACTTGGGTCCTTATGGTTATGTAACTAACATTTTACAAATACTGTGCCATCATCCTCCAAGCCCCAAATATTCTCCAGATTTCCTAAACTCAATGGTAGAATTTTTAGACTAACAAATTAAAAATTTCACATGCCAGGAAAAAATATTTTGTTGTATTATTTTTCTTAGACTATAAAGATTATAAGCATAGAAAAAGCTATTGGAAAAAAAAACTGTGAATGTCCCATATGGATTTGTACATAATAATATACTGTTTTAAACAATGATAGTCATATCATTGCTGATATGGCATTATTAAATGTCAAATGTATAAGGAAGTGTTGCCACTTTTAAGTTGGGGGCACACTAATCAACTTACAATGGCGCTCACTTTATAGTGATTATGTTACACCACCACACTGTACACAGATATTTGTTTTCCGTAAATCTGGGCAAAAATTACAAATTCAAGTCAGTGGTTCTCAACCTGGGGGCCACAACCTCTTTAGATATCCTACATATCAGATATTTACACTACAATTTATCACAGTAGTAAAATACAGTTATAAAGTAGCAATGAAATAATTTTATGGTGGGAGGCTCACCTTGACATGAGGGCTGCAGCATGAGGAAGACTGAGAACCACTGTACTAAATGGATAGATTTGTTTTTATAGTTAGTAGGAGAAAAAAAAAAACCTCAAAAACCCTTCAACCTTATAAATCTACTAATCAGGAAGATGTTACTTTAAAAAGAATTTACTTAAAGGTTCTTTAAAAGTATGTTGTGTTTAAGATTAATCCAATTTACCACCATGTTAATCCTAACACAATCTTCTTGGATACACATGCTATACACAGTATCAATTCCTACAGGTTACATATATGAAGGTAACAAGCACCACACAGGAAACCTCCGAGAAAGGATTGTATTTCTGTATGATGGTCCCTTCATGAGCAGTTTCTCACATTCCCACCATAAACTCTAACGTGTCTGGGACAGGAACTTGTGAAGCACTCTCAAAACCCTCTACCTTAAAAATTATAAACATTACCCACGCTTGCTAGTTTTAACATTCTCCCAGAGTGCTGGGAACTGGTCCTTGGGAGACTGCTTATGCTGGTGCTGGAGCCAGCTCAGCCCTGTGCAGGTACTTTGGAATCACCTCCAAACCACCCAGGGATGAGCCAGAAGCAGCCGTCATGCAGCTGCCAGGTTGAGTCCAATTGTCCTAATAGGTTTAATTAAAAACAATTCTTGTATCCAAACGATAAGCCTATATAAGAAATACAAACCACTAGCAATGATTTTTATTGTCCTAGTATGGCATTATGTTGCTGCAATTTATGCAATTTATGGCTTATTGCAGTTTATATTCAGGTCATAGATCATCTTTGAGAGAAGTTAGGCAGGAATTCAAGGTAGGAACCTAGAGGCCAGAACCATATAGGAAGAATGCTTTTCTGGCTGATGCATAGCTAGCCTTTTCACACAGCCCAGGCTCATATGCATAGGGATGATGCCACCCACAGTGGGCTGGGCCCTCTGATGCCAATCATTAGTCAAAATCTTTCACAGACATGGTCACCAGTCACTGAGATAGAGGCAATTCTTCAATCAGGGGTCCCTATTCCTAGGTGACTTTAGGTTTCCATAAAGTTGACAACAAAAACTGACTAGCACAGGAACTTACAGGGACAGACTACCTTCAACAGAAACTGCCACAGCAGAGGAGCCAAATTTTGAGTGTCCTACCCAGGACACTGAATACCACCTCAAGTCACAAAATTTCATCATTTTAAAGCACTATGGGTTCTTTATGTTACCAAACAGTAATGGCCAGGCTTAGGAAAGGAAAATGCTATTAAGAAAACATGTTTTCTGCATCTTTTCCACTCAGAAATTCATAGTCGAGGCCTATGATTGGAGGTTCTGATTTGGGGAAGATGAGAGAGTATGCATAAATTCCACGAAGGCAGCCAGTGTGGAGTGGGCTGTCGGGACACCGCCAGCATCTCAAAGCAGGGTTGACCTTAACTCTCACTTCCAGCTTCAAGGGCAGCACAACATTCAATGATGAAGGAATGAACAAGAGAATCTGCCAAAGACACAAGCTGATGCTCAGATGTTCCTTTCTCTGGGCTTCCTTTAACTGTCCTTGCTCTTTATTGATGAAAGTGACCAATAGTATTAATTCTCACCTGTCTTCAGTCTACAAAAGCTACTTTACTCTAAGTGTGAAGTGGACTAAAATACGCAATTAGCTAACTGTGTCCACATAGAACAACAGAGTCTACTCCATTCACCTAAGGAAGTGAAGCCTGACTTTACAGTCCCAGAGGCCCACGCAGACCCAACGTGAGCCAGGCACTGTTCTCTTTCTTGTGTGGCCCCTGGGACAGGCTCAGTTTGCCTGGCCTTTGCATTAAGGGTGGGAACAGTTAGTGTATGTCCTGATTCAACTTTCAACTAAGAGCCACTGTCAGGGAGTCTCTCTCTCTCTCTCTCTCTCTCTCTCTCTCTCTCTCTCTCTCTCTCTGTGTGTGTGTGTGTGTGTGTGTGTGTGTGTGTGTGTGTGAGTGTGCATGCGTGCGTGCGTACACTGAGTATCTGACTTTCAAATGCAAGGAAGTGGAATTCATTTTCTTCAAAATGAAACGATATTTGTCTGTTACTACACATCTCTTTGAACCAAATGATTCAAAAGTCTTTTTCTAGATGCCAAATATTACAGAATTTCCGTGTGCCATGGCAGTGTGACTAACTCAGAATACAGTGTCCCTGGGAGCTCACTCTGCCCAGTCTCCTCTCTGGGTGCATGCTTTGGCCCTATCTCTGCCTCCTGGAAGGGGGACCAGCAGACTAGCTGTGGCTGCATGCTGAAGGACCTTCTCCCACCTGACTCCACCCTTCTCAGCCCTGCTCTGAGGGCACTGCCTTGGGTATTCAAGTTTGCTGTTCTCCACAGCAGCAACCCAACACATCAACGGAAACTGGGAAGAAGGGGCCCAAATACACCAATGGAACCTGGGAAGGAAGGGTTTGGGGGCTGGATAACCTCAAGCCAAGGGATGTTTCCCATACTCTGTACCCTGTGGTGAGGCCAGCACCTCCCCCTAGCCATTTGATGGGTGATTTTGCGATATGGCCTAATACTCTACTCTAGGAGCCAACCTATCCTGTTTTCAAAGATGGCTACCACTGCATTCTTTATAAGGCCTGATGGGCCAACTACAGCCTCCCCCGGCCCCCACACATTTCAGGCAGTAGTATT